TTTTTTTTTTTTTACTTCATCGCTGCTTTCTTCCACACTATTGATACAGACGCTAGCAATTATTAATCCTTACTCTAAAATTCTCACAACTACATGACTTCATATTTACCAGTAAATCTTTCCACCACATCAGTATCTCTTCCCAACTTTTGTTTTCAACGTTAAATGGATGCCACTGAATTGTGTCGTATCTAATTTCCCTCACATGGCCGAGTACGGCTTTTTTTCCTAATTTCGCTGCTTTTGATAGATCTTATATTTTATATTTAATAAAATCGCTTACGCTAGACCAGGACCGTACTCATCAAGTTTCTGATATAAAGCGTGTGAATGGAAAGTAGAATTTCCCAACGAAATTGCATGCAGTTCGAGCTAATGACGCTGCTAAAAAGGAATGGTAGACTGGAGCAGAACAACATTACGGTGTGTCAGTACAATGTTGAGTTCCACTGGCCGTCACCGAAAGAAGCACGCCGATTCGCAGAATATTTGCTCGATACAGTCCGTGATGCAAGGTAGAGTCTCCGCCATCTTAAAAGAAATTTGTATTTCAGGAAAAGCCGCAATTACGAATTCGCCCATCCCCGTGCAGAACAATCTTCAGAGTTCACATCGTGTGGTTAGAGTGATGACACAAACAACACCATCCTATAAAGGCTGTTTCTTGTACGAGAATTGCTTGAGGACATTAGCGGATCCAGGAGGGAGGGACGAAGGATCCTAGGTAGCAGATCCCTTCCCCTCCCTTCCTCCTCCTCTCAGGGGCTTAGGGAGCAGTTATTTTACTGTTGAAAAGTCTACTTGAAGCCTCCTGTCGCCCCTTCCCAGGAGCCTTCGAGGGGAAGGGGGTGTAGTGAGGTGACCGGGAGGTAGCGGACCATTGAGTGCAGGGAGGAGCTGGTGAGGTTGGGGTGCAGTGAGACATCTGGAGGAGGGGGGGGGCGTGTGGTGAAAACATAAAGTTTCTTTTTTCCGACCTTGACTTTTCTGGAGTTTCCTACCGTTACTATGCTTAACCTCAATTGTTTTTATCAACTAGAGGTAACATAGGTATATTTATGCGTAGAAAAATAACAGTAAGAACAAAAAAAAGGGTGGAAGATAGGTCTGATGTCGGCAGACGACGTACTGATCCTGGCAGACGGTGTCTGGTCGA